TGTCAAAGCTGAGAAATGCGAGTTACACCCCCACTGTCCAGTTCCTTGGTTTCATAATCGAAGTGGGGCACCTCCGACCCATCTAAGATTCAGGCAGTTACAGATTGGCCAACCCCCACCTCCGTTAAACAGGTACAGCGCTTTCTTGGCTTTGCAAACTTCTACCGTCGATTCATCCGCAACTTCAGCACCGTCGCCGCCCCCCTCACCCCTCACCTCCTCCTCGGTCCCTTTCATCTGGTCTCCAGAGGCCGGCCGTGGGAGACCGGGAGTTGCTGGCTATCAAAATGGCTCTGGTGGAATGGAGTCACTGGCTTGAGGGAGCAGAGCACCCCTTCCTAGTTCTCACTGACCACAAAAACCTCTCTTACATCCAGACCGCCAAAATACTGAACTCCCGTCAAGCCCGGTGGGCCCTGTTTTTCAACCGATTTAATGTCACCCTCTCCTACCGCCACGGGTCCCGCAACACCAAGCCAGATGCTCTCCCGCCTCTACTCCCCAGACACCCCTTCAGACCCCCCGAAACCATCCTGCCTCGTGCCTGCCTCGTCGCCTCTGTAGTCTGGGAGGTGGAATCAGCCATTCGCCGTGCCCAGTCCACCGACCCGGATCTCGGTACCCCCTAACCGCCTCTACGTCCCCTCAAGTGTCCGCTCCCGGGTCCTCCAATGGGCGCACGCCTCCAAGTTCAGCTGCCACCCAGGGATGGCTCGCACCCTCTTCCTGCTCCGCCAGCGATTCTGGTGGCCCGCTATGGACAAGGACTGTCGGGCCTTTGTAGCAGCCTGCGAGGTGTGCGCCTGCGCCAAACCGTCCCACCAACTACCTGCCGGTCTGCTCCGCCCCCTTCTGGTCCCCGGTCACCCCTGGTCCCATATCGCCCCGGATTTCGTCACCGGCCTCCCCAGTTCTAATGGAAACACAGTCATCCTGACAGTGGTCGACCGCTTCTCCAAGTCCCCCACTTTGTCCCCTTATCCAAACTCCCACCTCTCTAGAAACTGCCCGCCTCCTCATAGACCATGTTTTCCGCCACCACGGCATCCCCCTGGACATAGTTTCTGACCGGGGTCCCCAATTCACCTTGCAAGTCTGGAAGGCCTTCTGCCGTGCGTTCAGAGCCACCGCTAGTCTCTCCTCCGGTTATCATCCCCAGAAACGGGCAGACCGAGCGGGCCAACCAGGACCTGGGGGTGGCGCTCAGGTGTGTAGCATACCGTAGCCCACCTCCTGGAGTTCCCACATCCCCTGGATCGAGTATGCCCACAACTTCCAAATCTGCGCCGCCACTGGTATGTCTCTGTTCACGTGTTCCCTGGGTTATCAACCCCCCTTGTTCCCATCCCTGGAAGAGGAGGTAGTGGTCCCTTCGGTACAGGCCCTTCTTCGACGCTGCCGCAGAGTCTGGAGGGAGGCCAGGGCGGCTCTGCAGCGCACCGCAGACCGCACCGGACCCCTGCACCTGCCTACCGGCCCGGGCAGCAGGTCTGACTTTCCTCCAAGGATCTCACCCTACAGACCTCCTCAAAGAAACTCCCCCGGATTTAACAGCCCTTACCCCATCGAGGCCATCATCAACCCCTCCGCTGTGCGTCTAACCCTCCCTCCTCACCTTAAGGTCCACCCCGTCTTCCATATCTCCCGAATCAAGCCCGTTTCCACCAGCTCCCTCTCCGTACCAGCAGCGGCGCCCCCCCTCCTCGAATAATTGATGGCCACCCGGCCTATTCAGTGCGCCGCCTCCTCGATGTTCGACATAGAGGCCGGGGATACCGGTACCTGGTGGATTGGGCCGGCTACGGCCCAGAGGAACGTTCCTGGATCCCCACCAGCCAAATCCTGGACAAGTCCCTCCTGACAGACTGGGCCCACCCTGACAAGCCGGGGGGTCCGCCTGGAGGCATCCGTTGAGGGGGGGGGGCCTGTTGCGGTGGCAGCCCGGCTGACGGTGAGTGCCCTGTGCTCTTTTGTTTCTTTTTTTACTTTGTCTCGCATTTCTGTTTTCAGCCTCCACGCCCACGTCTGCCGGCGTCCAATTTACCTTTTCACACCTCCCGTCTCCCCTCTTCCCTTTTTTCCCTCAATAAACCTCTTTTGTAAACTGACTAGCGTTGCATTTGGGTCCGTTCTGTCCGAAACCACAACAGTATGTGTTTCATCAGTTATTTGTGGCTTTATTGCCAAAACATGTGTTACCTCTGACATAAATACATAAATACAATCATTAGAAAATGAAGATAGGGTTTTTGGATTAAAGAGCAGTGGACCACGATCCACCTGGCCCACACAACCGGACCAGGCACCATGGTAGGTGTGGTGATTGCACAGAGGAGAGGAAAGAGAGCTGGGATAGGAGCCATGTTGGCGCAGCTTAGACATAATTCTTCTCCTAAAGGTCCATTGGGACTCCAATTCATGAAGCAACAGAATTCAGAGACTTTTGTGCCAACATCATTACAGAGACCTGCACCATTAACATCCCAGATCAAGCACTCGGCAGGTGGTCCATGTTCTGAGCTGTCAGCGCAAGACTTCAGTGAGATGAGAGGAGGTGGACTCTTATTGTGAAGATGAAACCATATTATCATCTGGTTGCTGCAAATTGAAATAATTAATCTAATTTTTAATTTATATATATACTTTTACCTTTTTAAAGATAACTCTGAGACGCACAAGAATTCCAATGTACCTGTACTGCAACGTAACTGTACAAATGGCAATAAACTTTATTTTATTGTATTCTAAAAAATGGACTGCGGAATGGTTTTGGTGTATTTGTGTATGTACATAAATATGTTATCATATTTTAAAATAGAATTAATTATATGTTGTGTGTAGCATGAAGGGACAAATTTTATTTCACTATGCAGCCTTGTGCTGTATAATGACGTATAAACAACCTTGTACTTTTTACCTTGTGTGTGTGAGAACATTCTGTTCATTTGCATAAAAGGATCAAATTGAATGGAATATGTAAATGTTCCCTGTGACGTCACAAACATTTCACACACAGGGTAAGTATTTTCTCTTGGTTCATTTTCAAACAGCACAGAGTGGACACAAAACACATGAGTTATACAGAAGAACCAGTTTTCTTCAGAGCCGCCAATACAAAGTCAAGATTTTACAAACATAAAGACCTCATGGAGGCAAAAACTACAACTGAAAGCAGCCTTTCAAAGCCGACAACAAACATCTCCCTCCAACACCCAAAAATACCCTCTGCTGCACTGAGAAGAAGAAACACTCCAAACACTGTTTGGGGAACCTGGGGCTGGAAGACATTGGTGTGGACCTAGAAATGGTCACTCCCTTCCCTGAATAGGTAATGTCAATCAAGTGTTTCTGTTGAACAGATTACACATACAATCTCATATTCAGTGAAGTGAGTTTAGTGGTGAGAAACAAGATTAAGTAAAGTATAAAGTAGATAACAATGATGGAGTTATTGCTACTTTTACTAAGTTCAAACATATAAATTGCACCAATAAAGTGTAATTAATGCAATTACATAACAAGAACACAAACTGGGAGACTGAGGTTACCTTTACAGAAGTGAGGTTTAGTTTTTTCAGAAACTTGAGAAAAAACTGGAATGTCTCATGCAACCTTTTGAAGGTGTTGTGAAAAAATAGAAGAGTACAGTGCAAGCTTCAGTACAGAAAATATTCTTCAGTAAGTTGGGAAGATACTTGATTATTTGTTTATTTTGTTGGATCCCCATTAGCTTCTGCCATAGCAGTTGCAAATCTTTCCACATATTAAAAATGTCCAAATAAAACATTCGTACAATAAAATATAAGGTGGAAAAATGTGTATGTTGAATTTCTGAGTGCAACTAGAGCAATGACCAAAATATCATATTGTGTGATTAAAGGATTATAGGAAGTGAAAGTTTAAGCTGGTGTCTGTTGATTTCATAGGCTATGATGACATATAAAGAATCCTGCTGACACTTTTACTCTCAGCTGGTAATACTGTGAGATGGCAAAACATCAATAATCAAAGTCTTGTAAAATATAATGTAAAATAATGGCACTACTATGATTCAATTTGAATATTAAGTAATGTAAGGTTAATGTATTATGTAATGTTGCCTCTAATATCAGAATTGCTTAATAATTTTGAACTAAATTGTTCAGTTTCCTTCACAGAAAGCAAATCAAATTTACATAGTAGTTGACTTTTTTGACCGATTTGTAAAGACAAACAACCTCAGCAGCAAC